CTTTTTTCCTTTTGCTTTATGTGGTGCTGAGGAATCGAACCCAGGGCCTTGAGCATGCAAGGCAAGCGCTCTACCACTGAGCCACCTTCCCAGCCCCTATTATAAGCATTTCTATGAAGAGCTTTTGATCTATCCTTGCTCTAGTTGTCCTCTAATGTTGCTTTTTCATCTTTAAAAAATATTTTTTAAAAAATATTTTTATAATTTTTATTGTTTATCATTGATGCATAATATATTACTACAAACAGTACACACTGATTATGCTACAGATAAACTGGATTCTCTGCTTTAGAGTACACAGGATACACTAAAGTTATTGGCTGGGGATGTTGTTTACACCTGAGGCTTAACCAGATAAAAGATCTGAATTCATTTCCTTGAAGGTGGAGGCTGAGATCTTTGGTTTCTGGTCAGTTTTTGTCAGAGGAAGGTTCTTAGTTTGCCACTTGGCTCTCTCCATATGGAAGTTCACATATGGTAGTCTGCCTCATTAAAACTAGGAGAGACAGTCTCCTCACAAGACAAGCATCATCATCTTATGAAATATGGATGTCTCAAAGGCAGAAAGGAAATGAGAAACACTAGCAAGACAGGTACCACAATCTTGTATAACTTAATCACACAAATCCCTTCACACTCCAGGAAACCGCACCAGGAGCACAAGGAAACAGAAAGTCATGGAGTTCATTCTAGGAGTCTTTCCAGAATTCCCCTTTATATGATTCTCATCATTTGATATATGAGCTGAATTAGCTTTATTTCCTATTTCATTTGACTCAGACACTAAATTCATTGTTGATCATGGAAGATGGCCATACCCTGAAATCCTAAAATCAGAGCAGATGATTCAGTAAATCTGGCCATCTCCAGAAGTATAGTAACTTAACATTTGCCTTTCAGTTGGCACTGACATCTTCCTTGCTTGTGGTCAACATATATTTGCCTTCATATAATCTTCATACAACTTCATACAATCAATATTTTTCTCTTTATTGAAATTCTATGTTGGGGGCTAGGGATTGTTAGCTACACAAACCTGCAAAGTAATTCCTTTTTAAGTTCATGTTGGCGTTTTTAACCTATCTGGTTATATCACGTGAGATTTGGAGTCAAAGGACCTATTTCATAATGGCAGAAAATTCTTTGCAGTATGATCACTGAGATGAGAATCTACAACAGAAAAGTCTTGCTTCTAGGGCTACTCAAAATTGTATTCTGAACCAAGCCTGGGCAGGTCCAAAGTTGTAGTCCCAATTCCTGATTACCTTATTGTATGTACACGTTTGGAAATAGATTGGACCTGATTGTTCCTTGCACTTCTGCACTGGCCTTTCCCTCTTCCAAGCCAGGATTCTCCATGAAAGAGATGCAAGGCAAGAATATTAACTAGCCCCTAGCCATTTAAAAGGGTATGGCAGAGGTCCAGACTATGAAAAACTAGACTCCTCCCCTTCAATCTGCATTTAACCTTTACACAAAGCAGTACTTCCTTCAAACCTTGCTCAAGAATAGTTGCGCATTAAAATGAAATAAAATAAAAATGCTAATGATATTAAGAAGGTTCTGCTAACTTTTCAATTTTAAAAATGAGGACCATGAAACTATGGGTTTGGAAGTCAGAATAGTGTTCGCTAATGTTAGCTTTTTGGACTTGGTCAGAAAACCACACAGACATCCAAAACAAAAAAAGCTTTATTGCCAGGAAAGGGAATGGCAAGACCCCTTCTCACAGGGGAGAAGTGAGAAGAAGGGCCTGCTATTGTCTGAGGATACCATAGAATCTAGGAGGTTTAGGAGGGGCTAGAAGGGGCAAGATGGCAGAGACCCTAGTGTGGATATGTGGGCCAGGGGCTTCATCACTGTGGACTAGGATTTACAGCTGCTGTCGAAATAGTAGATAAGGGGTCCTGCAGCCTCCCAGACCTGAAGGTCACTCTAAGGAGCTCTTGTTGCCTTATATGGTGATAGCTGCCCCTGAGGAGTGCCACACCAGGGTAAAGGGGGGCTATACTGCCTTTACTAGGCCTAGTGTTGCCTAGCAAAGGAGCATGTTAAGTTGAGTAGAGGGGAAGGAGTGTACTAAGCTAAGGAAAGGGGCTCATTTCACTAACAACTTATGCATCTGCTAATGCGGGAGTCAGAGGGGGCTTTGATAGTACAGGCCACGTTCTGCTAGTTGTTTCCAGATGTTAGGTTTTTAAAAAGAGGTAGCCGAGTAAGAACAGCACCACGCACATGGTATTCAGGTAAGGGGTAGGTTTATTTAGTAGACCTGCTGGGACCAGGCAAGGTTGGCACTCCACACGGCTGGCAAAAGGGAGCAAGGGAGCGTCTGGCCCTGGGTTAGGCCTTATATAAGGTGGGGGAGGGGAGAGGTGTGTCCAGGTAAAGGGAAGTGGTACCAGGTAAGGGGTCCGACCAGGTGGGAGAAAGGTGTGGCCACATCAGATTCAGATGTGACCTCATCGGATGCACATGTGACCTCTTCCAGGTGTCCCAGTTGTCTAGGTAATGCGGGTACTGAGCGGGGTTTGCTCGCCATCCAGGAATGGAACTTACACTAGATACTACTTATACGCATGTGTCCAGTTTGTGGAATTTTTTTCAAGCCATATTCTGGTCTGTTCATGTTTTTAATCTATATTATTTATTAGTAAAACTTCTGAAATGCTAGTCTTCATGTGTCTTAGTTTTGTTTCTCTGAAATGATTTTTGCTAGTTTTGGGGGGGAGGGAAGGTAGTTGAAATAGAATCTCACCTAGCCTATGCTGGCCTCAAACTTAAGATCTCTGGCCTCAGCATCTCAAGTTCTGGTATTAATTTTGCCTGTTTGATTGCTTGAAACTTTAGTCACAACTTGATTTAAATTCATAGTTCATCTCAACTCATTTTATCTGGTGGATTATACTGTCTAAACTATTTCATTTTGAGACTTACACTTGGTTACTTCAAATTTTGTCCAGTGAATTAGATGCTGTTGGTTTACAAAAATTTTAAGACAGAGAAGCTATCTATAACTCACTAGTGGGCTAATATTTAATTTAAAATCCTTAAGGTATTTAATGTTAATAACAAAAATATAAAATGTAGGACTGGACTTTTAAATTAATAGGCCTTTCTTTCTCTGAAGTAGAAGGAAAAGGAAGAGAAGGAAAATATATGCAGTAGTTGGATCTTAAGTTGGAGAGAAGACAAAGATGCTCAAAAATGATAGTCATAATGTTTTTCTGGGGATCTTGGAACACATTTCTGTACTAAGAATAAATGCTGGAGTAAGGTTAATAATTCAAGGAGATGAGTAGTTAGGAAATAGGTTGATAAACATGGCTGAAGTTCAAGGGTAGATACCAATGAGAATACAATTTATATGGTTGACAGTTCCCATTGCTTAGGGACACAAGAGAAGATAGGAAATAGCTGATAAGCTATGAGAACAAAGACTGGATGGAGGTCAAGCTGAGGACAAATTGCAGACTCAGTGACAGCTCAAAAAGGAAGTAGAAGAGTAAGTGGCTCTGGGACAGAGAAGGAAACACATTCAAAATTTTAGAGGTGGAGTAATTTCATTCAATGACTATGCTGAAGGCGTGGCTTCATCTGGGGGGTGGTTTCTAAAAAGTTGATGACCATGGGAAAAGAAAAAGATGAGACATTGTGAGATCAAGGTGTCAACCCAGTCATCAACTGGGATGCCAGAATCATTACAGGGATGCAGGACATGTGGTTAGTTTCCAAAACAGGACTGGACACAAGCAAGGAAGTCAGTGGATCTCCTGGTCATGGCCAGATCTAGATAAATAGAAAAGCAGGCACACTTTGCCTGCAACAGTTATCACCTTTGATCTATCATGCTTTTTCTTATGTTCACCTACTCCCAAAAAACTCCTTGTTATTGTCCTGTCACTGCACAGGTGACCCACTCCCCGCTCTTAACATAAAGTCCCAAATGGCCATGGGCATCAATGGAGAGAATGCACTACTATTGCTTTTTCTCCACTTACCTGTGAATTTTGACAGAACCTTCCTTCTTCTCTCTTCCTTCCTCTTTTTCCTTCTTTCCTTCCTTCCTTTGTGCCTTCTCTCCTTCTTTCCTTCCTTCCTCCCTCCCTTCCTTTTTACCTTCCTTTTCTTCTTCCTTACGCTCTCCTTTTCTTCCCTCCCCTCTGCTTTCTTTCCTTACTTTCTTCCATCCCAGTATTTACTATTGATCAGATTTAATCCACAAGATACCACAACTATAAGTAAAAAAAATACATTCATTGCAGTCCTTAACAGAGTTCCTTTCTAATGACAAATTCTTAACCAGAAAGTGGTCATTTCAGGGCTAATAGTCTACAGAGGTCTGCAAAGTCGAGTAATTTCAAGAGTATATTTTTCCTGCTGTCATGCTGTTCTGAAAACTCTTTTTCTAGTATTGATTCATCCTTTTTGTCTAGGATTTTTTTTTATGTTTTTTTTTTTTTTTTTATTGTTGAGTCTGGTCGTGGGGTCTGAACTCTGGGCCTGGGTGCTGTCTCTCAGCTCTTCAGCTCAAGGCTAGTGCTCTACCACTTGAGCCACAGCGCCACCTCTGGCTTTTTTCTTTTTGCTTACGTGGTGCTGAGGAATCAAACCCAGGGCCTTAGGCATGCAAGGCAAGCACTCTACCACTGAACCAACTTCCCAGCCCCTTGTCTAGGATTTTAACTGTACCCCACCCCCAAAATGTGAGTTTCTTAGAGACAGGGCCTGAGCTGAGTCAATACAAAGACACCCACATATATTGATGAGATAAACATAGGTTAATAGAACTGTGGCTATGAGTAATAGGACTTAGACCTTTGCTTTCCTGAGGCATGTGTCAAGATAGACTAGTGATTTCTTCCTACCCACCTCACTGCTGAAAAATATAATCTTTTAAAATATATTTGTGATGCCAAGTTTTGAGAAGCATTGACATTTGAGACACTCAATGACAATAACAACTGATGTGTCCTGATAAACCTGTTTTACTTTTCAAGTCATTCAATCCCTGGATTAATCCTATCAGGTGGGTACCATTATTATTTGCAGATGAAGAATTTGTAAAGACTTTCCCAAGGTCACAGAGATGGGAAATGCCAATACCAGGATTCAAACTTAGTAATATGAAAACATGTACATATTATCCTGTACATATTATCCTGTAAACTGCCTTGAAACAAATGTTAGCTGGATCTATATGAAATTTCCATGGAAGTTTATTTTTTAAAACAAACACCTCTAACAAATGGCAAAGACAGAATACAGCCTGGTCACCTTCTGCTGGTTATTTGCAGTTGCAACACCATCCCTAAATCTGCCTGATACTTCTGTTGTTGTTGTTGTTGCCAGTCCTGGGGCTTGAACTCAGGGCCTGAGCCCTGTCCCTAAACTTCTTTTGCTCAAGGATAGCACTCTACCACTTGAGCCACAGTGCTACTTCTGGCTTTTCTGTTTATGTGGTACTGAGGAATCTAAACCAGGGCTTCATGCATGCTAGGCAACCGCTCTTCTCAGCCCTGCCTGATGATTCTTTTTTCTGTGTCTTTCCAAAATTACCTGGTCAACGACTAAACGATCCTAGCGATCTTAGAGCTGAAGATGTGTCTCAGTGATAGGATTGCCTAGCTTGTGTGAGGCCTTGTGCTCCTCCTCAATAACGTGGGGGGGGGGGAGGGGGAAGGACAGGGGAGAGAGAAAGGAAACAAGGTACCAGTACCTTAATTTTGATGTTTTGTTCCATCCCAATTCTCAAGGTAACGAAGGACTTTGTAATTGTCTGAATTTACCCTATAAATTGTTCACTAAATTATTATCGACTTCCTCTTGCCTGCCATTCCCTCTAGAAGTCAATGGCCTTCATCCTTCATTATTTCTTTCAGCTACAACACCTCTTAAAAGTATCCTAGGCGTCTCATCTTGCTTTGGAAAACTCACATACATAACGTGAGACTTCAGATTCATGTTTCAGAAGAGGGGAAGAGGGAAGGGGGGGGTGAATTACACCGAAATCGGCCTGTAACTAGGTTTTCTGCTTTTGACTGTTTTTTAATCACCGTTAGGGAGGTGCAAGCCGCAGAAACACTAATTCCTTGGCAGGTCACCAGGTCAGAGATCCATCGATCACGTCCAAACTCATTTACTAACTTCAAAAAAAAAAAAAAGCATACAGGGGTAAGGTTCGTTTTCATGAGACTTGGACCAAAGCCGCCACCGCAACCTGCGGCGTCTCCGGAGCAGCCACAGCGGCCCAGTCCTCGCGGTCCCCAGGGCGCTCCCGCGGCCTCCGGGGAGCGCGGCGCCCCAGCGGCTCCGAACCCCTCCGGGAGGGCGGACGGGCTCGGCCTCCCCGGAGACAAGGCGGGGGGGGCGCGGGCAGCACCCGGGGGGCAGTTCACGACCCCGCTCTTCCACGGAAACATGGAACATTCCGCTCCTTCCGCCCGCGGGGAGGAGGTGGGGGCGACCCTTCGATCTCGTCTGGGAGAGGCGACGAGGGCTCAGCCACCAGAATCCGGGATGCCGGGAGTCGCGTTACGGGAATCGCAGCTGCTCGGGGCCCCGCCCCCTCGTCGTCGGCGGAGGCTGAGCCAATGATCGGATGCGTAGGGACTCGCCGGAGCCAATCAACGCACAGGTGTTCCGACCGGGGGCGGGGCACCGAGGGGCGGGGTTGGGAGAGCGCAGCTCCCAGCGGTGGCGAGAGGAGGGCGGTGCGTGGTGACCGCGGAGAAAGGTCTGCGAGTCCCGGCGAGTGAGTGGCCCTGAGGCCCGTGAAGCCTTGTTCGGGGTATCGCTCGGACACAGCGGAGCTGGGGGGCCCACGCGCCCGCCTGGCGGACGGGTCCGGCCGTCCGTCGAGGGGAACACGGACGCGATACGGCGGCGGATCGTGGCGACGGGGTGAATCGAGGCGCCGCGGCCTGAGGTGAGGAGGCCCCGGGCCGGGTGTAGCGAGGGCCGTGTAGCGGGAGCGCGCGGGCCCCGACGGGGCGGCGCGGGGCGGCGCGGGGCGGCGCGGCCCCTCGGCACCGGAACGGCCCCTCCGGCCGCGCGCTCGTCCCGAACGTGTCAGTCCTCGTCTGGAAATCCCCGCATTCCGTCCTCCCGCCGCTCCCGGCTCCGGCCCAAGGCGACTTCTCCAACTTTGTCACCTCGGGATCTCCACCCCGGGTGCCCTCCTCCCACCCTGCACACCCTTTCGCGGGGGCTCTCCTTCCTCCCGACCCCCGGCCCAGGCCCCTCACCGTCGATCGCCCCCCCCCCCGGCTCCCAGATCCCAGGCCGGCTCCCTCGCCCCCTTCCATCCGCACTTACGAGACTCCCGCACTTGACTCCTGCTCTTCCTTGGTGTCTTACTCGGACCCCAGAACCGTCTCTTCAGCCTTCAGCTGTAACGTGTAGTTATTGCCGAGAGTTGGCGATGCTTTCCGCACACCCGTTAGCGTTTCTTCTAAGACACACCGCTCCTAATAAATCGCCCGCATCACGTATCCCAAGGGGAACCAATCCTTCTGTAGAAACACGCTTAAAGAAAGGTTTGCCCAAGAAGCAAAATTCTGGGCTTGCGACCATGAACAGCATTTTATTCATAATCCCAAACAAAAAACAGTGTCACAAATTAAAAATCAGACGCCACTGTTGTGCTTTTTGTTTCTTCTTTTTTTTTAAAAGAACACTTCATTTTGGCATAATGTGTATAGTGGTGGGCATTTCAGCACAAATTAAGGATTGGAATGGCAGGATGAACCTTCTGAAAGGTTGGAGTATTTGGTTTAGTCAATGCTGTAAACAAACCCTTTAGACTGTGTGTGACTGCCAGCTTCAAGTTGGAACAACTCTTAATTTGAAATTATTGACTCAGATCATTATGTGAGCCGTTCACCATTATCTTAATTTCCTAAATTTATCTTAATACGGATTTGGATGTATCTTTGACCTATAAATGGGAATAGTGCATTTGTAGGGCCACCTGGATACTAAATTAAATAGTGCTTTCCAAATATTTTGCCTGGGGGGGCATTTATTCTTTTATCACAAGTGAAAGAAAAATTGTAAAGGGAAAGCATCAAAAAAGGAAAAATAAACTTTGTGCAATTTTTCCCTCTTCTCAAGTCTGTATTATCAACTGCCTTAAGTTTCTCATAAATACTACTGCCAGCTAATTTTATACAACACACTCTTACGCAACCAACCATGTTCTCATTTTTATTTATGACTTGCAGTATTTTCATTTTATTAAAATTTTTTCCTGTGGGTATTCTGACATTTTGTTAAATACTATGATGACTGTTGATTACATACATACCAGTAAAGTGAGTTTTATATTTTCCACTTTGTAAAGAAGGAAACAAACTCAGGGTCCCCTGTCACTTCGACCTGGTGGCTACAAATCCTGTCTTCACAAATATCTGACACGTTTCTCTGGAGGATCCAGTGCTGCAGTTTAGTTGGGGGAGTTAATTGCTGCCGGCAGCTTCTCTTCTCTACAGTGGTAGGGAGGGGCTTTTCCTTTAGAAGCTACTTCAAACCGTGCCATTTTAATGGGTGTCAGAATTCCCTGGCTCTAAAACATTTGCAGTTTGGTTTCTAGAGAAGCATGGAGAGTTCTCACAGCTTCCCCTGTATCTTTGATTGCCGACTGTGCTCAGAGCTGAGGTTTCTATTGATATTATTTTATGCAATAAATACTAAACTCGTAGTCTACTTAGGATCTCACAGAGATGTCTGGGATGTCTTTAAGACCTTCAAAGAGTTTATAAAAATTGAGTTGACAAACTTAATGGTTAAAAAAAATTTATGTGGGTACAAGGCAATTTTTATTCAATATATTGTGATACAGAAAATGCTATGGATATTTAAGTTTGAGCGTGATCTTTTAATGAGAATCATCAAGAATTTACCAGAGGTCAGCTTTGAAGCTTGGGTAAGATTTTGATAAACAAAAATGGAGAGAGAGCTTATTCATAATAGAGAATGGAGGACAAAAATGGAGAATATTCTATGTAAAGGACCAGCAAATGGAAAAAGAAAAGTAACTAAGGTATAGTCATAAAAATTAATACATATTTTATGGGTTTTCTTGCCAGTCACTTTTTGAGTGTTTTGCTCATACCAATGCATCTTTATCTAAGATCTTATGAGGTAGATCCTATCCTCTTTTACACAAAGAGAAACCCCAGCACAGAAAGGTTAATTAACTTGCCCATCGAACAAGTTGTAGATCTTAAATTTGTACTTAGATTAGCTTTGGAGTTTAAGCTTATACCTTTAATAATATTACTTTGTCATATAGAATACTTAAGTAACATGCATAGAATATTACCATTTTCTTAATAGGTCTTCTCAAACTCATTCTTGGGCTTGAGATATAGTCACTGGTAGAGGACTCCCCTCACATTTGCCAGGCCCTGGGTTCATTCCAAATCACTACAGATACATAAAACCCATTTTTAATTGTCTGCTTGGTGCCCCAAATTATGTTAGATTCTGAACATATCAACACTTGAGGTAATTACTGAGCAATGTTATGAGTCCTTTTTAGGGAACTACATAAAAGTTTGCTGGGAACAAAGATGTTTTTGAGAGTGGGGGGAAATTCCACAGAAGAGATATTTCATCTGTGTTATAAACAGTCAAGTAGAGCACAGCTGTCAGGAGTTATTGCCAAAGCAAGTTAGAGTGTTTAACACAAAGTGTTAGAGGAAGTCTAATAGATTGTTGTGGGTTGAGCCTATTGAGTCTAGGGGTGACTAGAAGGGATGATGAAAGGTAAGACCAAATTGTGAATGGCATGCTGTGGCCAAGCATAATAAGGAGCTTAAATATTTGCTTTGTAGCTGGAAAAGTACAAGAATTATATCAGCATAGTTGTAGTAAAAGCCAAATTGGCTTTTACTACAGTTCAAGTTCTCTCTGGAAGTATGGCAGTGGGTAACTTAAGAGAAATTTAGGGAAATACTTCATTTGTTTTATTTTGTGGTACTTTATTGAACCCAAGGCCTTCTGGGGGGTAAGCAAATATTTTACCACTGATCTGCACTCCCAGAGGGACCTCCCACATACCAGACAAATCTCCCCCCCCACACACACACCTTGTTTCTCTCTTAAAAAAAGAAAAAAGAATAGAGGTGGTTTGTGCCTATAATTCTAGATAGTCAGAGGCTGAGAGCTGAATCTGATGGAGGTCTGAAGCCAGTCTGGGCAAGAAATTCTGTGAGACTCTTATCTTCAAAAAACTATCAAAAAATTCAGAAGGGGAGCTGTGATTCAGGTGGTAGAATGACCGCCTTGAGTAAAGATCAGTCCCCAGGTGCTGAATTATTGAAGCCACAGTACTGGCGCGCACACACACACACACACACACACACACACACACACACGCACACACACATTGGAAAAGATTAATTGGACAACAAGCACATTGAAGGCCCTTAAATAACAAAAATATTTAGTATTGTTATTCACCCTGTAAACCACTTTTGAGTAAGACTGGTTACTCTAAAGTAGTATTTTAGAAAGATTTCATCCATCAACAGTGTTAAGAATTCTTGGGAGGGAAGAAAGAGATGGGAAGCAGAAAGGCTGTTCCAAGTATTGTGATCAGTGCTCAAACTATATTGGTCATTGTAGAGGATCAAAAGATAATGTCAAAAGATATCACAAAAGAATTCTGGGTAAGATGTATAACAAAAAATGGAAAAATAAGTGTATTAAGTGAACAATGAGTTCTATTGGGCAGTTGAAGAGGGTATGTTGTTTATAGGTAGGGAAGAAAGGTAAATTATTAGGATTGAAAAAAAGGTGTATTCATTCATGATTGTATATGTGTATAAGCATGCATATAGATAGGTATTATTTTTGCACATCATAAATTGATTTGAGTGTGAGGCAGACTATCCAACAAGATGATTTATAATGAATAAGATCCAAACCAAAATTCTTGAAATTATTTTGTTTGAAGGTAACAGTTGGGCTTTTGTCTTCAAAGATGTAGGCAGTTTAAAAGTAGATGCCAATTTTTTTTTTCTTTGGAAACATTTGTAACCAAGAGATAAAAGCAGAAAATTCAGTACAGAGTATAGGAAAGTGGATTAAAATGAATCATCTAAATTACTTGGCTACATAGAAATCAGGAGACAGGAGAATTTTTTTTGTGTGTGGGGGGTCCAGTCATGTGCCTGAACTCAGCCTGGGCACTGTCCCTCAGCTCTTCAGCTCAAGGCTAATGCTTTACCACTTGAGCCACAGCGCCACTTCCAGCTTTTTTTTTCCTGCTTCTGTGGTGCTGAGGAATCGAACTCAGGGCCTCATGCATGCAAGGCAAGCGCTCTACCCCTGAGCCACCTTCCCAGCCCAAGACAGGAGAAACTTTAAAAGCAGGGATTTCAGTGGAAAGCTTTAGGAACACTGGTGATGTTGCACAAGGCTACAGACTCTTCCTCTTTTATGTCTATCTAGTATGTTTTGGAAAGATTTCATGAGAAAAGTTACCCAATCAGAGCTGTTAATGCATGGTGATCATTTAGGTTGTATAAAAAGCTGCATGTATACCTAGCCAGAGCAGGAACTTCATTCCTTTCATAATTATGAATACGTTTCACATAAAGAATGTGTTGCCTTGTTAAAATTTAGAGATTCTGGGGCTGGGAATGTGGCTCAATGGAATGCTTGCCTAGCATGAATGGAGCCCCAGGTTCTATTCCTTAGTACCACATAAACAGAAAAGGCTGGAAGTGGTGCTGTGGCTCAAGTGGTAAAATGCTAGCCTTGAGCAAAAGAAGCTCAGGGACACAGTGCCCAGGCCCTGAGTTCAAGTCCCCAGGACTAGCAAAAAAAAAAAAAAGAAATGGTTCTGGCTTCAAAATTTAATATTCTCTTCAATAATCACTTTCATCCTGTGTCCTAAGGCAGTTTAGTTTAACCATTATTTCTGAATAGTGCATCTCATTACTGCTGTTTTCTATACAGTCTCTGTTAAGATGCTCTGTTTTATAAAATATGCATCCCAATCCACCTAGTGCAAAGTAAAGTCATCAGAACTGTATTTTAGATAGCCTGGTTCCTGGTAGTGGATGTATGGCTCATATACCTACTGTTTTCTTGGTCTAGCAACCTCCATCTTTATTTTATGGCTGGATGTTCCATGGTCCTGTTTGAGTTGTGTACTTTCAGTGTTCTTATAGCATGTGGTGTGTATTTTACATTTCTAAACTTTGACCTTCTTGAGGACATGAACTGTTTATTTGGCTTGAATTTTATTTGAATGATGATAGGAACATGGAGATTTAGCAAGTACTGTCTAAACACTTTCATCTGGCTAAAATAGTCAAAGTTAATTTATAAAAGGTCTTTATTATGCCAGGTGCTAGTGACTTATGCCTGTAATCCTAACTACTCAGGAAGCTGAGATATATGAGGATCATGGTTTGAAGCCAGCCTGGGCAAGAAAAGTTTGTGAGACTCTAATCTCCAATAATCTACTTAGAAAAGACTAGAAGTGGCACTATGGCTCAAGAGGTAGAGCACTAGCCTTGAGCAAAAGAAGCTTAGAGATTGCACTTAGGCCTGAGTTAAAGCCCAGGGACCAGCACGCATGCGCGCGCGTGCACACACACACACACACACACACACACACACACACACACACTCACACACATGCCTCTATTCTATTATAAAGTCATAAATGCATCCTTGTATTTTTTTTTTCGTTTTGCTTGGCTCTCAGTTTCTGTCTCTGTCTGTCTGTCTCTCTCCCCCTCTTTCTCTCTGCCTTTCTCTCTATCTCTTTGGTGGTACTAGAGATTCAATGCAGGCCTGTCACAGAGCTACATACACACTAGTCCTATAAATTGTAACATATGTTGGAGTCTGTTTGCTGTTGTGCTATAAATTGTCTGTTCTTCTGGACCAAGACCATGTTTTAATTACTCTAGTATGTCTCACTGAATGACACAGTAAATAGGTTACTTTTGTTTTGTTTTGTGCCAGTACTAGGACTTGAACTCAGAGCTTCATGTCACTCAGCTGTTTTGCTCACACTCTGCCACTTTAGCCATGCTTCCAGTTTGAACTTTTTTTGAAGATGAAAGTTTCAACTTAATTAAAGATGAGAGTTTCAAGGATTGTCTGCTTGGGATGGCTTCCAACCACATTCCTCAGCTCTCAGCCTCTTTAATAATTGGGATTCTGGGCATGAGCCACTAGTGCACAGCTACTTAATTTTTCTGACACTTGTCTTTTTTTTTTTTTGTCAGTGGTAGGGCTTGAACTCTGGGCCTGGGCGCTGTCCCTCAGCTCTTCAGCTCAAGGCTAGCATTCTACCACTTGAGGCACAGCACCACTTCCGGTTTTCTGCTGTGTTTATTGGAGATAAGAGTTCCACAGATTTTCCTGCCCAATCTGCTTTGAGCTGTGATCCTCAGATCTCAGCCTCCTGTGTAGCTAAAATTATAGGATTATAGGCACCGGTGCCATCAGCACCTGGCTATTTCTGTTTTTTTTATATGAAGTTTTAAGTTAGTTTGTAAAGTTCTGTAATAAAGTACTTTGCTACTTGTACTACAGTTGTATTACATTTACATACTTTGTGAAGAATTGACAACTCTGTGTATACATATACACATACACTAATACCCTACACACATACACACACACACACACACACACACACACACATACTTTTTTTTTTTTAGTGCTGGGGCTCAAATCCAGGACCTCGTGTGTGCTAGGCAAGCTTGTTCCCACACTCCTAGCATCCTCCCCTTTTTCCTTAGATCTTATTAGTGTACTTCTTAGTATGATTTTATTGTTTTCTCCATAAAGTTCTTATATAGTTTTGATTCCTTTTTTTTTGTCCTTAGTATGTATATTTTTCCTTTTTTTGTTTTTTGTTTTTTATTTTTGTGCCAGTCCTGGGGCTTGAACTCAAGGCCTAGGCTCTGTCCCCAAGCTTTTTGCTCAAGGTTAGCACACTACCACTTGAACCACAGATGCACAGCTTTTGGAGGGTTAGTTGGAGATACGAGTCTCATGGGCTTCCCTGATCCAGCTGGCTTCAAACCATAATCCTTAGATCTCAGCCTCCTGAGTAGTTAGAGTTACAGGTGCTAAGCCAGAAGTGCCCAACATAAATATAGTTGTTGTATTTTTTTTTTTTTGTCGGTCGTGGGGCTTGAACTCTGGGCGAGCGCTCTACCACTTGAGCTACAGTGCCACTTCCGGTTTTCTGGTGGTTTATTGGAGATAGGAGTCTCACGGTCTCTCCTGCCCGGGCTGGCTTTGAACCGCGATCCTCAGATCTCAGCCTCCTGAGTAGCTAGGATTACAGGCGTGAGCCACCAGCGCCCGGCTAGTTGTTGTATTTTTTAAATACTGGTATGAATTGTATTTTCTAATTAATAGGACTTTTAATAATCCTAGTAGTTTGTCATTTGATTCTCAATTTTTTTGTAGATGATCACATCATCTACAGTTTTTTTTGTTTTCATTTTTCTTATTTTACCCTTTCTAGAATAATATTGAATAAATGCTGGCCTCAAGCATCTTGTCTGAATCCTCACTGTGTTCAGACTGTTTCTGATTTTACCCTTAGACCTATGAATGCCTACCATAGATTTCTAATATTAGTAATGGTAGCACCAATAGCAGGGGCTTCATTAGTACAGAAGTTGTTACTTTTCACTCAGTGAACCAGACAGATGCTGAGCACTTTATGTGTGTTACTTTGTTCATCTTCCAAGCATTCCTTAATGGTGGGTATGTAGCTGGTGATTTTGGACCCAGTTTTAGAAATAGGGAAAATGAAAACGAGGGATACTAAATAAGATGAAGGCTGGGATTGGAACGATAGACAGTTTTGTTACACAGAATCAGACACTGAACTGTTTTCTATCAAAATAAGGATAGCCTTTTTTTAGTCTCAATTTTCTGATATTTTGATGTTACTTTTAAGTTAGCAGATGCTTTTTAAGTACCTATTGAGATGACAATGTTTGTTTTCTTTAATTTATTACTATAATGAATAACACTACTATATTTTCTCATTTTTAATACAGTAGTCACCTTTATGCTCTAGAGATACATCCCAACGTATTTGAAGAGTGTATGAAACTAAATCCTGTCTAAATCTATCATACTAAACATTTTTTCTTCTACGTATATGTACCCAAAATAAAGTTGTACTATATAAATTCAGCACAGTAAGAGATAACAAGTAGTAATAAAACATAGGAATTACAACAATACTGTACTAAAAGTTACATAAGACTTATGAATTGTTATTTCAGGAGTTTTTCATTTAATATTTCAGACCATGGTTAGCTACTAGTAACTGAAACTGGAAAGCAAGACTATGGATGGGGGAGGATTACTATATACTTGTATTTTTAGGTTAAATTCACTTGTTATTGTTCCCTTCTTGGTTTTGTTTTAAACCCATTTAGGCCTTATCCCACAAATATTTGTAATAGTTTGACAGTATTTTGTTATGTAATTCTTACTGAATTTGGTATTCAAATGTCACCAGGATGAAGTAGCAAAGCTTGCCTAAAACAACAACCCCCCCAATATATATATAAAATATATA